TATATATATATATATATATATATATATATATATTATGAAAAGTACTTTTATTTAAAAAAATGCTTAACAACAATAAGAAAAATCATAATAATAATAATACATAATTTGATTTGTACACTTACATGAATCCAAGGTATAAAGAAACTATTATTTTCTGTATTACTGTATTTTTTACTTGATTACACCACACAACATATTTAGACTCATTAAATAAAAACTTGTATTCAGATTAATAAAAAGTAAACATTTCCAAAAATGTATGGAACATGAATACAAATATTACATTTCTACGAACTAGGCACAAATCTGATTCTGACCGAGACTTTTAACTGATTTGAACCTCCTCATCTGTCATTTACCCTCTAATCCTATTTCACATAATGATAAAAACAAAATGAACGTGCGACTCATTTCAGACAAGCAGCACATTTCGACACAAACACTCCGCTCAACGCAGTCTTCAGACGAGATCCCAAGGGAAGCGGCAGTGTTGCTGTTTAGAGCAAATTTGAATTTCCTGGACGATTTTTGGGCAGCTTTTGCCATTTTCAGGCCTCAACAAACTTCTCCTACAGTTTTAATCGGATCATCTTCAAATTTGCTGAGTGTAATCATAAGGCCTTTGCGATGCTAAGTTGCGAAGATCTTGAGTTTTCGTTGAAGGGCGTGTCCGTGGCGGCCTGACAAATTTCGATGTTTCGACCATTAAACAGGAAGTTGCTATAAGTCAGCCACACAATGTCCGATCTGCCCCAAACTTCACACATTTGATAAGAGTTCTTGGTAAGGCCAATATTCAGTTATGCGCCACCTGCTGGCAACAGCAAATGTCTTGTTTTACACTAACGTAAACATGCAATGTCCAAACTGCACCAAATTACACATGTTTGGTAAGAGTCCTGACCTGAAAACATCAAAAGGCCAATATTTTGTTCGAATTAATAGCGCCACCTGTTGGCAACAGTAAATGTCATGTTTTACACTATCTAAAATATGAAATGTCCAATCTGCCCCAAATTTCATGTTTGATAAGTGTCTTTTGCCTGAGAACATCTAAAGGCCAATGTTCAGTTATGATCATAGCGCCACCTGCTGGCAACAGGAAATGTCTTGTTTTACACTAACGTAAACATGCAATGTCCAAACTGCACCAAATTACACATGTTTGGTAAGAATCTTGGCCTGAGAACATCTAAAGGCCAATGTTCAGTTATGATCATAGCGCCACCTGCTGGCAACAGGACATGCCATGCTTTACACTAACTCAAGCATACCATGTTCAATCTGCACAAGACTTCACATGTTTGATAAAAGTCCTGGCCTGAACACATCTACATGCCAATATTCAGTTATAGTCATAGTGCCACCAGCTGGCAGCAGGAAGTTTGGCACATATAAATGACTTTGACATATTTCTCCTATATTTACCACTTTAAATGCATATTGCCCACCGTTCACAGTTTTACTAAAGCCACTGGGTGGAGGTGGCTCTGGGTGCGAGGGCCCTTTTAACGCTGCTTGCAGCTTTAATTACACTATACAACTGTATTCTTTACGGGGTTGTATAACACATGTTTTACAGTCTCTTCAGACTCAGTGGTCTGCTCTCTGGTCAGTTCATCCGTCTGTGGACAGGCTAAGGATGAATGTGTCTGTGACGGACGTGGCATCCATAACCCTCTCTCCGTCTCTCCACCCATCCCTTGCTTTTATTCTCTTATTCCTCGCCGTACCCAAAGCTGCAGATTCGATGGCATTTATTTTCCCAGGGCCACGGCGTAGGAACGGGGCGCCTCCTTGTTAGCTTGACAAATAACTTCTGTGGGCAGAAAGTGCTGAATTTTAGCTTTCGATGTCTATTTTCTGCCGGCTGACATTAATTTTGCGAGCTCTGCGGGAACTATCAGAATAAATAAATAAGGAAATAACAGGGCTGAGGCAAGGGCTGCTTGGCCATTAGAGCAGGTTTCTGAACACACATGCATTCATGCCATGTTTGTTGAGCAATATGCCGCCTTTTGTGTCACATATCTGGAGTCTGTGTGTTCTGTGATCAGCTTGATTTTTGTTAGAGCTAATAAATCTCTTGATTTAAATTTTTTTTTTTTTTACATTTTTGGAATTCCTGTTTTTTCTTTTTCTTTTTTAAGATTAACATTATCTAATCTGACTAATTGATCAAACATCTAATTCTAAGATTGAATGTTTTTTAGTAATTAATGCATTTTTGTTTATATAATATTTACATACTGTAAATTATGAACAAAACCGCAAAAGAATATGAACATATTTGATCGATTAACACCAATTTATGCCAATAACAAATTTAGCTTATCAAAGTAATAAGCTGACATTTTAGGAAATGCAGAACATAAATCAACATTTTATTGTCTTTAAATGCATACATATTTTGATGGGGTTATTATCATTAACTAAACCTAAAACCAAAACCATTAAAAGTAAAAATAAATCAAATGTAAATAAATACATAAATAAATACTGTTACTTGAA